GTCATGTCTGCCATTGAAGCACCAATAATTTAGGAGGGGAAGCTTCAGAGCTTTCCATGACTGGAAGCAGGAGGCCTTTCTGTGTGGACATTGCTCTCCACCTAAGGATCTACCTGTCCAACTGCAGAGAGGGATAATTAAATAATATTGTGATGCCATCAATTAATTAGAAACAACAACAACTGTAGTAAACTTTAGCGGTAAATTGGATCTTCTTAACGGAGGGTCCAGGTTGTGCGCTGGGTGCAGGACACCCTCCCCCCGGTGTGGGGCAGGGCTCTACCCTGCGTTGCGCTGGTGGTGGTGCCACAGTCACCCTAGGGTCTGTGCTCCAATGGGAGCACAGGGTGTGTGTGGCTGTGGGGCCAATTAAAACTGCGGCTTGACACTGGAGGCCTTCTTGGGCTTGCTCTGTGGAACGCCTGCCCACCTACCCTTCATTTACGTTGTGTTTTTGGCCTTGCTATGGACTTTGGCTTGTTACCCGTTTTGGAATGGGGGCCTGGTAGGAATTTTTCCATTTGGCAGATTGGCACTGGCCACTTGGATTTTGCCTACCACATAGCAATCGTCACAACTTTGTAAGGTTGGCAGTTAGGCATTGGATTAGTGATGTGGGGGGGAGGTGAGGTGTGACCATCACTTGCCCCTCCATGATCAAGGGTATTCTGTTAAAGGAATCCGGGGGTCTGGATCTCGTCCGTAGCCCACGGAGGGGTGAGGGCCATGCCATGATTTAGCAGGAACTCCGGGGTGAGCTTCAGTCAATTGTAATCAGTGGAGTTACCTCTTCTGGTAGTTTACCAGACTCCCTGCAAGGTGGGCAGGAGTCAAATATAGGTTGCCATTGCCTAAGCCAATATCACTTATATTCTGTATTCAATAAAGTTGTTGCCAAAATTCACCCATTAACATTTAAACTTAAATTACGTGTCATTGTGTTTTTATTTCCAAGGGGGTGGTTTGTATCAAAATCTACCATGTTATGTGTCACTAATATCTTACGTAGACCTGTAAAAATACATTTTCAATAGCATGATTACTTCCTCACTTTTAGACTATACGGGGGGGGACGACGTCTTGGCTCTACATTTTTCTCCTAGTATTAATTTAGGTTGCAATTTCGCAAAAAGGGAGTATGTTCCCTTGAACTCTGTGTAGTTTATTTCTCAGTAGACATGTACAGGATCACACAGTCCTTTGATCAAAATATATTCATGGGTTGGACTGCCACTAATCCAATCCAAATGGATGAGCTATGCCTTCATTCAGTAATAATGTTGAACATTTACTTAGTGTGAAGAGCAAAGATGGCAGACTTGTGGTTGAAACCATGTTCCTGAACCGCAAGTCCCATCATCTGTGATGGGAGGTGGAATCAAACAATCTGTGGGTGGCTACAGGTACTCCTGTTCCTGGTTGAGTGCATTTTAGGTGCTTTGCATGACTAATTTCTTCAACAGAGAAATCAAAAGGGGACAAAGGAAAAAGAACTCATTGCAGAGAATCCACCCAATCTAAATACATACTTGGCTTTCATCTGCAGAGTGACAGGCATGATATTCTTCTTTTGGTGAGCAGTTTTTTTAAAAAAAGTTTTTCCTTTCCATTGATTTCAATGAAAATGAAATGAAATATTCTAGCTCCAGGGTTGGGGGATTTCCCTCTGCATTCTGGTGTATATACAGCATGTGTTTCTATGGATGATGGCCATGGTGAAATGGGAGGGGCTTAGATTCAGTTATCCCCAGTACAGCCATCCAATAATGCCTCCTTTCTGCCCTCTCCACTATTGCAGCAATAAGAGTGGATGATGGAGACCTGAAGAAGTTTCCATCGCTCCAAGGAAGGGGTTCCATGGACAGACTCCTGCCCCATTTTTGGTTCTACTTCTTTGTCTGCAGAGAGAGGGAGAACTGTAAAATCCAATAGCTCCAGAGATACTATACAATGAATCAGTAGAAATATCTCTGTAGCAGACTGCTGTGAGGGTGATCAAAATCTGCCATGTGAGTTATCCACACCCCCAATCCTATTTTATGTACTCCCGCCTTCTGAGCGGCACAACGGGTCTGTAGTGTTTCTCAGCTTCAGAGTCCCATAGAAAATGCTAGCAAAAGCTCCAGCTAAGTGTACTAGATACTTCTGCACTAAAATAAATGGTCCTTATTCTATTTTAGGACTCTGTTGACCACAGATTGATTAAAACAATGGGGAACACAGAAGAAGGAAACCAGACAACTATCAAAGAATTCATCCTCTTGGGTTTTGGGAATCGTCCTGAGCTTCAGCCTTTCCTTTTCTCCCTCTTCCTCATGATTTACATCTTGACATTAACTAGCAATTTTCTCATCATTTTGCTTGTTGTGGCTGATCAGCACCTTCACACCCCTATGTATTTCTTCCTGGCCAATTTGTCCTGCCTGGAGACTTGCTATAGTTCAATCATCCTGCCCAAAATGTTGATCAATTTGATAACTGAAGAGAAAACCATCTCTGTGAATGGATGCATAGCCCAGTTTTACTTATTTGGCTCTTGTGCAGCTGTAGAAACATATCTCCTGGCAATGATGTCCTATGACCGCTATGTGGCAATATGCAGACCGTTGCTGTATGCTTCTATTATGAATAGAAAACGATGTTTTCAGCTTATAGTTGCAACATGGATTAATGGTATGTTGATTAATTGCATAGTAATATACTTACTAGCTCAGTTACATTTCTGTGGACCCAATGTCATAGACCATTACTTTTGTGACCTGAACCCAATGGAAAAACTCTCTTGCAGTGACACTAGCAGCATTGAGCTCTTCACCGTTCTCTCGGCCTTCTTTTATACCATCACCCCATTCCTGTTGACTCTCACATCCTATGTTTACATTATCACCACGGTCCTGAAGATTCCATCTGTTGTTGGGAGGCAAAAAGCGTTTTTGACCTGCTCCTCTCATCTCATTGTGGTTTGCACTTTTTATGGTTCAATAATTGTTGTCTACATGTTGCCAGACACCCCGACTCTGAGAGATCTCAATAAAGTATTTTCACTCTTCTACACCATCCTAAATCCCTTGATTAATCCTCTCATCTACAGTTTGAGAAACAAAGAAGTTCACAAAGCCTTAAAGTTTGTATTTGGTAGATTAAGTGTTTATGCAAGGCTTTACTCAATTTTCTCCCTTTAAGCGCATCAAAAATTGAAGATACAGACTCATGGTTTGTGAGAATAATATGTGAGAGACTGTGTAGTGAAGTCTAGTCTAGTGGTTAAAGAAAGGGTTTTACAGAAAAAAGGATTCCACCATCCTAAAGTTCCCTTCTGCTATGGGGGGGGGGGAGACCTGCTCATCTCTTTGTGTTTTACATTTTTTTAATACTGTACTATTGCCATTTTTTAAAAAAGCATTTGACTGAATTCACCCCTGTCCTTTATGTTTCAAAGCTACTAAAACATTTTGGGGCATATATTTTGGACTCTGTTGGGGGTGATTAGAGTATTCCATTTAGTTCTATGACTTCTCTGTTTATTTGCACTATATCACCTGTTGCGGATGGGCTTGTTTATCTGACTATGCTTTCAGTTGTTATTTCTGACCAGCTGCTGTGTTATGGCTGTTGTCTTAGCAAGAAAGTGTTGATTTGATATATTAAATCAAATGAAAGTAGGTAATTTCCTCCTTATCTCCTTACCCTGAGTTGATGGCCATAATAAGTACAATGGCTGTAATATGTGTAATCTTTGTGCAAGCACATCAGGATAAATGCTCAATAAACAGATTTTGTGCTGGATCCTTAAGATTTAGCTGTGTCTGTTTCTAGATGTGTAAAGGGGACAACCTACAGCTGTGTCTACAGATTTCCCTGGCAGCAACCAAAGGGGCATGATCTATGCTGCTTACTGCATTTCTTTCTGTCATGCCTGGCTATGGAGTAATATGTTTCTTGTAGTCTATTTCTGTGAACTGTGTTCAGCTGCATACAGTAATATATCCTATTCAGTCTGCTCAGACTTAAGTGTGCATTGCTTTTGTTATTCTTGCCATCCTTCAATCAAGCCTTCAATCCTCACCTTCAAGCATCCATATTGCCTTCAGATCCCCAAAGGACCACTTCCTTATCCAAAACCATCTGACCTTGGAAGAAAACTGCCTACTATTTAAAGTAATTGATGTAATCAATGATGTAACACCATTCTTTTCATTTCAAAGGCCATTCATTTCAATGCAAAGGGAACACAATTTAAATTGGGAAAATAATGCTATTGATTATGCTTAAAACCCTGCACACCAGCAACAGCAAATACTAACTGGTATTCACTTGATTGATTTCTATTCCGAATATGGGGCAAATAAGCAAGCTTCATCACTTTCCTCTTCAATTTCTGTTTCTGTTTTTCTTTTGAATTCTCTAACATCCCTACCTATAGATGTTCTAGGTCACAATTTACCCAGATGAGATAGTAGTCCACAGAGGAGGAATTAATATTGGGATCCCTGTTGGGTTTAAGAAGTTGTTTGCATCATATATGTATTCCACGCAGCTAGAAAATCAGCAGTAAGTCTCCAGGCTCACTTCCTTTTACGTTTCTGCAAGAGGCAGTTTCAGAGACACTCAGTTGCATGGTGTTGTTCATCACACAACCTCTGCTAGCAGCACTAACTCCTGGAGCATAATCCAACAGTAAATGGGTGCATGTAAGTACTAAAGCCATATGCTTTCATCAAAGCCCTGTCTAACCCTCAGAACTGAGATATCAGATATCCAAGAATTTTAGACTGAATAAGACACATGGCATATGGCTCCAATTATTAATTTCTATTGAAATCATTTACGCATTTTTCAAACAAGGAATAAGTTTCGTTGAATTTTCTGCAGTGGTGTTTCTGAGTAGTCATGTATAGGTTTGCACAGTACTGTCCCCAAAATATGTGAATACAACTTCATTTAAACCATTGGTTCTTGTTATGTTGTAGGGTTGTGTTGACCTCCTGTTGATTAAAGCAATGGGGAACACAGAAGAAGGAAACCAGACAGCAATCAGAGAATTCATCCTCCTGGGTTTTGGGAATCTGCTTGAGCTGCAGCCTTTCCTTTTCTCCTTCTTCCTCATGATTTACATCTTGACACTAACTGGGAATTGTTTCATCATTTTGCTTGTTGTGGCTGATCAGCACCTCCACACACCCATGTATTTCTTCCTGGCCAATTTATCCTGCCTGGAGACTTGTACCAGCTCAGTCATCCTGCCCAAAATGTTAGCTGATATGATATCTCAAAAGAGAACCATCTCTTTAAATGGGTGCCTAACCCAGTTTTATTTCTTTGGCTCTTTTGTAGCTGTAGAAACATATATCCTGGCCGTGATGTCCTATGACCGCTATGTGGCAATATGTAGACCTTTGCTGTATGCTTCCATCATGAATGGAAAACTATGTTGTCAGCTTATGGCTGGGACATGGACAAATGGTCCATTCTTTAATGGCATACTAGTAGGTCTCCTGGCTCAGTTATACTTCTGTGGGCCCAATGTCATTAATCATTACTTTTGTGACCTCACCCCAATTGAAAAACTCTCTTGCAGTGACACTAGCAGGATTGAACTCTTTACCCTTTTCTCAGCCTTCTTTATCACTGTCACCCCATTCTTGTTGATTCTCATATCCTACATTTGTATTATGAGTACTATCCTGAAGATTCCATCTGCTGTTGGGAGGAAAAAAGCATTTTTGACCTGCTCCTCTCATCTCATCGTGGTTTGCACTTTTTATGGTTCAATAATCATTGTCTACATGTTGCCAGACACCCCGACTCTGAGAGATCTCAATAAAGTATTTTCACTCTTCTACACCATCCTGAATCCCTTGATCAATCCTCTCATCTACAGTTTGAGAAACAAAGAAGTTCACAAAGCCTTAAAGACTCTATGTGGTAGATTGACAGTTCATGCGAGACTTTGCTCCCCTCCATCCTTTAACCTTATCAGCCGTTGAAGATCCTTCGTCATGGCTTACGAGAGTAAGATGTGAGAGGCTTTGTAATAGAGTGTTTACAGGAAGGCTGTTTACAGAAGAAAAGTTTCCCCATCCTAAAAAAATACTCATCTTCTAAACCCCTTTTTGTACTACTCTTCTCATCCCGCTACGGCTTGTATTTTTTGTGGCACCGTGATAATTCTCCAGATGTTTCCCAACACCCAAAGACAGCTTAGTAAAGTATTCTGCACTGTCCTGACTCCCTTGAGCAATCCCCCCACAAAACCCCAAGAGCTGTTCTTAGCAGATTACTATTTATTGCAAGAATTCATCTGACTCAATCCTGTTCCTTATGTTTAAAAGCTGATCAAAAGACATAGCAGCCAAACTACTCCATTCAGTTCCTTTGATTTCATATGGGTTGCTAGCGTTATCACTTGTTGTGAGTCAGCTAGTTTATCTGACTGTACCTTCATTTCTTATTTCTTACTAGCTCTTGTGTTATGGCTTTTGGCTGAGCAACAAAGTCTTGGTTTTATGTATAAAACCAAAAGAATGTAGGTCATCTGCATAATAAGGAACAAAACCTGGATCCCACCTTATCTTCAGAGCCCTGAGTAGATTGCTGTAATATGTGTAAATGAACAAAAGGAGGGGCTGCCTGGGCTTGTATATCCCAACTGACATTGGGATATATCCCAACACTGACATTGGAGCTTCATTCAGCGGTTTAATCTTCTGCCTCGTGTTAGCTCACTCTACCTTCCACTGCCAGGCAAATACATAATATTTTAAAAAGAAAATATCACACTTTTAATCTGTGAAGGAAGCCCTTTATGATTTCTACTCTAATCTTGCTTTTGATTTATTATGGATTTATAATTGTTTTTATTGTTTCTAGTTTAATTACGCTTACAAGCCAGTTTTGAGAATGTTTATACACAGCTTAACTATGACACAAACATTTGTCTTCCCTGTTCTCATTCTCTGGTCCACCCTACTGCCATAATGGATGCAGTGGGTGTTTAAACATAAACCACAGCCAGGTGAACTGCATAATTTTTAGAGTTCTTTGCAAGTGGCCCCTCAGAATTTCCCATGCTATTGGGAAATAACCAAGTTTCTTCAGGGTTAGAAGAAAATGTTCCTCCAGAGTAGGTCTCACCTTTGTAGTGGCAGTAGCAAAGCTTCTTTCTGAATGGTTTTTTCTGCCAGTGTACCGGCAGCTTGACCACCATTTTGCATCAAGCTTAGCATCCTTTCCCCTCCCATTAGTTGCAGACATGCTTAAACATGCAAATGATTAAGAAGTTGCAAAAAGAGTACTTGAAAGGCAATGGCCATAGTGGGAAATGATGTATATATTTTATTCCTACTATATCCTGAAGTGAAGCACAAGGCAACACATTCATGGGCCAGTCCAAAATATCTTGCTACCTGAGGCAAAAGACAATATGGTGTCCCTTCATTCCAAATAGAGACTGGATTGGCATCTTAACCTTCAATGCTGGCATTACCCCTGAAGGCAATTCAGATTTGGGGGCATGGAGAGCTTTTCATTTAGTGCTTTGATATGGCTTTCTCTTCTGCAGCATTTGCTGCTTAAGGCAGGCAACTCACTCTGACCAAGTGATCAGGCAGTGAGGCAAACAGCCCAGGCTATACACTCATGCATGAACATTCATGAGTCTCCTTATGTGATGCATAGTGACACCACCAATGCATTTGTTTGGGTTGGCAGAGAGCTAGAAGGGGAGTGAGCAAGCAGCAGCAAGACACCGAGGAGAGTTATGTCTGTGCCATGCAGCCTGTCCCACATACTGTCACTATTGTAGCCCTTATCAGAAAACTAAATGTAGTCTTGCATAATTCAAGCGGAATAAAGTGTCCTAGTGCCCATGCCCTAGCATAAGCAATCCACATAAAACACATCCAGAGACTGTGCAGTGATGGGGAAAGAAACGGAAAAGTGTGGGAGGAATGAATGATTAACAGGAAGATGTGTAAATACCTTGGAAGCAAATCAGGATGAGTGTGCATGCCTTATAACTGCCCCACAAACAAAACAGAGCCAAACTGATTAATAAAAGTGGGGTGTAGTGTAACCTCTGTCTATTGATTCCTAATAGACTGCTACTGTCTTGTTAACTGCAAATTACAAAATGTATTTGTTTGTAACTTAGTAGCTGAACTATGATCATCATAATAAAGAATGATGGATTGTCATTGATATATTATTTATTTAAAAAAATATTCCTCCGTACCACTGCCTTTTTCGTGCGTAGCCAGCTTCCATTAAGGAAGGAAAAACCCCTAAGAAAAATTAAATAATCAACTGTAAAAGCAAACATTTGGAAAAACAGAGACGGGTGTAACAGGCACAGAGCCTTTTTTCAGCTGGAATCTTTTTGGCACCCTCTCAGGTGGGCACCATTGCCACTGTAAGAGAACAAGGCAGGTATCCATGGTGAGTACCAGGACCTCTCTTTCTAGTGTCCAACCAGTTTCAAAATCCAGCCCACAGAAAATCCTCAACTTGGAATGTCAAATGGCAGATGCCAACTGGAACAGTAATAAAAGTCTTAGGCATGGAAAGAATGGAGGGTAGAAGGCACTGAACATCCTGAAGTAGAGATTGGCATGATCATGGAGAAAGGCCTCTCTCACATCTCAATCAGCCATTCCTCAGCCACCCTTGTGGCACAAGTGGATCCCCAGAGGATCCCAGGGAGTGAACAAGTTGGTATGAGAGGAGGTATCCTAGGCTCGTGCCATTTCAGCTAAGACTTGGAGGTTCTTGAAGTTTCATAGCCCACTTCCAAGTATTTTAAAGTTGAGTGCCTGTGTCAAGCTCTAGGTGTGGAGGCAGGAGCTAAGGCAGTGAGTTCCAGAGTGGAGATTGAAATGTGGGCATTAACAATGATCCAGAGGATATGGAGAGATCTGTATAGTCACTGACAGCTCCTCCTTTACTTTCTCATTTATTGAAGCCAAGTCACTGTTTGCAGTTAGATTTCCCTCCTGCCACTGAATAGACCCTCCCACCCTAGTAGATCATGAGCAATAGAAGCATCTGGTAGCTACCTGAGAATACTCAGGAAATATTGGAGTACATCCTGCAAAATCAAACTCTGCATGTCAAATCTCTCTGTCTTCTTGTAAAAAGCAATCATTACTCTGGCTTTCCATAGAAATGTCCCAATATGTGTTGATTAAAATACACACACATGAACAGACATGAGCACAGACATGCCAGATACAATTTTAATTTTTTTTAAAAAAATATTGTTCTCCCTCCCCTGTGTTTTTTGCTGTTATTATTTTATCTGTAAGCCACCTTGAGTCTTTGTCAGGGGAAAAGGCAGGATATAAATAAATATACTAAAAATATTATTAATATATTGATAGTTACAGATAGGTAGCCGTGTTGGTCTGCCATAGTCAAAACAAAAAAATTCCTTCCAGTAGCACCTTAAAGACCAACTAAGGTAGTTCTTGGTATTACCAAGAACTACCTTGGTAATACCAAGAACTACCTTAGTTGGTCTTTAAGGTGCTACTGGAAGGAATTTTTTTGTTTTAATATATTGATGTAACTAACATGCAATCCTGTACATGTATAATCAAAATCCCCAATGACTTTAATGGGACTTACTTCCAGAGAAGTGTGCACAGGATTGGATCCTTCCAGAACAATCCTATGCATGTGTATAGAAAAGGAATTTCTATTGAATTCAGTGGAGATTACTCTGAAGTAAATTGGCATAAGATTGAAATCTTGATGACACAGAACATAACCACATAGTGGTGATGAATAAGAGTTGAATGAGAGATTGAAATGGCACAGCGATATGGCCATTTAGGCTGGCATTTGAAATTCCATTAAAATTTTTCATATTGGTTTGGTTCAGTGGTAGGGAATGAATGGCACATTAGATATTGTTGGGCTAAAACCCTTACCATCTGAGACCATTTTGGCCAACAACATCTAGAGACCCTCTGTGGTTTAGCATTATAGAAATGGAGGCCAATTCAGGAGGTAAATGCAAGTAATTGTTGTTGTTCTTTCAATAGCCATGGCAAATACACATTTTACAATTTTAAAAATCATGCTTTATTTCATATCTTCACCAATTATCCATAATAATTGTGATTATGGATTAACAGATCCATGAAAATACCGATCAGATCCACCTGCTGAAAAGTGTGCCACAACAACTTCAAAAGTCAAAAAATATGCTGAAGAACTGAATTGCAATATGCACATTAATGTGAGGGGTTTGGCTCAGGCTGCTTTACTGAGGTATTTGCAAATGTGAGATCCTCACATCCCATTAATGGCAAATCCTTTCTCAACCCTTCATCTGTGTGTATTTCTGCATGCTTCACTAGATCCAGCACAACATTGCGAAGCTACAAAATTCTGCTGCTGAATTTTCTGACAGATCTGAACAGCGCTTCCTTCACCTCCCTATTTCTCAAGCTGTATATGAGAGGGTTCAGCATGGGAGTCAGGATGGTGTAGAACAGAGAAAACATTTTGTGCAGTCTCTTCAGTGTTTCTGTTTCAGGGACTATATAGACAAGGAATATTGACCCATAGAAAAGTGACACAACAATCAGATGAGAAGAGCAGGTGGAGAAGGCCTTTTGCTGCGCTACCTTGGATTTAATTTGCAAGACAGTGGAAATAATGCAGCTATAGGAGGCCAAAGTTAGTAGAAAAGGGGGTAATGTCACCATCAGCCCTAGTATAAAAACTGCAGTTCTTACTATGTGAGTATTGCTACAAGAAAGGTTTGCCACAGGATATACATCACAAAAGAAATCATCAATTTCATTGGGCCCACAAAATGTGAGCTCTACCATGAGAGATGTTATGATAGTGTTGGTTAACAGACCACTCATCCAAGAAGTGAATGCTAACTGGAAGCAGAGTCTACCATTCATAATGGTTGAGTAGTGCAGAGGTTTGCATATTGCCAAATACCGGTCATAGGACATCATGGCCAGAAGATAACATTCCGTAGCTGCCAAGAAACCAAAGAAATAATATTGTGTGATGCATCCCATAATGGATATGGACCTATCCCCAGTAAGGAAACTGACCAGCATCCTGGGGAGGATGGTGGAAATGTAGCAAGTCTCCAAGAAGGACAGGTTCATGATGAAAAAGTACATGGGGGTTTGAAGATGCTGGTCAACCACAACCAGAAAAACAATTAGGAGGTTTGCAACAAGCGACAAAGCATAGATGGCAAAAAAGAATACAAAGAGGAAGATTCGCAGTTCAAGGAGATTGCCAAATCCCAGAAGGATGAATGTTGTAGGGCTTGACATATTTTTCTTTATTTCTGTTTGATGATGAATCTCAGCATCATCCTGAAATACAATTTGACAAGTTATAGTGAGCTTAGACACCATCTCCTCCTGTTTCACCATCCACTGACGTTCGAATCTAAAGTTGGCAGGATCCAGGTATCCAGTATGGTTTTCACATGCTGTATTATTTTCAAAATAATGGTCATGGAGTATCATGTGTTTTAAAAGCTCTGCCATTAACCCACTTCTTTTACTTTGAAGCACTTCTTGCACAGAAAGGGTTAGAGTTAGGGCCAGTGAGAAGGGCTGATTTGCAGAGGTGAGGCATTTGAAGAAAAGGATGGTGCTTAACCATTTCCTACCTGTGGCTTTCCCCTGTTTCCTCCCTGAAACTAGGCAATATTCCCAAAGCTGGGATTCCAGAACTATGTTGCTGCCCTTCCCACTAGGGATAGTGATGTAATGAGAAAGTAAGACTGTACAATCCTGAGACGGGATTGTATCTCCTTCAAAAGTATGAGGGAGGGGGATACTGTTTTGGGTGCTTCCAGGTAATACAAAATATTTTCCCTGGAAGTAAACCTACACAATGGAAAATCACCAAACTGTAAAGCAGGCATGGCCAAACTTGGCCCTTCAGATGTTTTGGGACTACAACTCCCATCATCCCTAGCTAGCAGGACCAGTGGTCAGGGACGATGGGAATTATAGTCCCAAAACATCTGGAGGGCCACATTTGGCCATTCCTGTTGTAAAGATTGCTTTGCAGATCACCTAGTCCACCACCTCCCCTTCAATCAGGAAAAGATCTGCAATGCAGATGTTACAAAGTGTGTGTCTGAACTCATGTGTGTGTCCAGCACTCATATGTTTTCCAACATACACTCCAAACAGGTTTAGGATCTTCTGTTGAAGTTAAAATGTGCTTTTGCTGTGAATATGTGTTTCTACCCTTAATTGTATGCCCCAAGATGTTCATGCACCAGAGGAAGGAAGAAAGGTTGGTTTATTGCATGAAATGAAAGGGACAGTTTCATTAGTTTATCCTGCCCAGTTGGTAGTTGAAAGGACATGACCCTAGTGAGAAATGACTCACTTGTTTCCTGAATCAAAAGTTTACCTTAGAGTAAGGGAATGTTTTCTGTGTGGAACACCATACTTTCCTACAGGATGTTGTAATCAAACTTTGCTGGTGACACAGTGTGCTGGGTGATGATATTCACAGTATTAGGAGGCACACTGTTACACAGGATGCAAGCACAGCACCGACGAAAGATGTGTGCCTGGTCTGTGCATAAATAATAGAGGATAGACCAGGATTTCCCATGGCAGTCTGGTTTTTAAAAAATTTGTAAATAAATAAATAAATGGCTTTGCATACTGCTTGATTGTAAGAAAACCTCAGCAGTTTACAAAAGCATGAAATAAAACATTAAGATTATCTGTAAAACAGCTCAAAGCAGGTATTTAAAAACAGTGAAAAGATGACTGAAATCATCAATAGCTAAAAAAGAAGACACATTTGTTTTTGCTACATATCTGAGGAGGCTTGGCTAAACAAAGAAATTTTAGGCGGGCATTGAAAAGAGTATAGCGCAGATACCTGTCCGATATCAGTAGGTTGGGCATTCCAAAGTATAGCCGCTGCTCTAGATTTCTTACAATATTGATTTCTTACAAATGTGGAACACATGTTCTTTAGCACCATCAACAGTGCACATTGCACAATGCTAAATGTTCAAGTTGGTACATATGTACCGCTATGGAATAGCTCTTATTTCACAGTTTCTTTTCATGTTTAGCTGAAATCTTTTCCCCTGTAATTTCTTCTGGTCCAACATTTTGGAACAACGCAGAGCAAGTCTGCTCCCTCGTCTCTGTGTTATACCTTTAAACATTTGAAGAGAGCTATCACATCTTCCCTGCTTTTTTTTACAGGCAGCATTCAACCACATGTGTACCACAGGACTTCTAGTCAATCACTTGGAGTGAGTGCTGAACAGGCAATAGCCAACCTTTTCTTTTTTGGCTGGAATTGGAGAATGAAAGAAAATGTGCCTGGTGTGATGTAGCTATGGGGGAAGGAGAAGAAACTCTGTTAATACAATCGCTATTGTATTAACATTTACATTATTTTCATTATTTTAACTCTGAGCTCCTAGTCCTGGAGTTGTTTTCTGTGAAATTCAAAGTGTTGCCTCCAATGTTCCAAAGAGTTTAAAATTAATTGCTTCAGTAAAATATCTCATTTCGTATGCTTGTCAACTCTATGACTTTCTTAATAAACTTAATAAACTTGAGGACTGAGCAACACTATTATTTTGTACAATAATAAAGCGAGAAAAAAGAAAGAAAGAAAGAAAGAAAGAAAGAAAGAAAGAAAGAAAGAAAGAAAGAAGAAAGGGGAAGGTACATTAAGTAATCCCACAGTTCCAAATACAACACATGGAGATGAAAAGCTAATGCATAAATATTTACCTCAAAAATGATTATATTTCTAGGTGGAATTTCTGATGTGTTAGATTCAGGTTCCATCACTAGAAGACAAGTCTCTGTTTTGCTGCTTTTCTATCCTAACAATCTTTGCTTCAGGTGGATATTGTGGAGTCATGCTTCCTTAGAATAGCAGAATCCCAGTGTGCTCTTCTAAAAGCTCCTCGTTTGTCTTGCTTCTATTTATTAGGAAAGTATCAGCAGATGCACTTATTCAAATATGCTTAAATGATCAAGCACAAATGTTTCTGTAGATGGATACTTGCAGTTACTGGGGGGATGGCACTGATCAATTTTTTTTTCTATGCTTGGCTCTATGTATCAGTAATTCTGGGAGTTATGCCAAACATCTTAAACTATTAGCATGGTAAGGCTCACATTATAGGATATCAACGATACTCCAGCCAAATGAACTGGGAAAATGTTCTCAGATGCAGAAAGTTACAAGTTCAGTCATGTCAGGGGAAATTAATTTTACTGATTACATGTTACTCTCCCAAAGCCTGGTCTTGATATAACGAAACAGATTTGTTTTCTTTAAAAAATATATATTTGCAAATATAACAATATGACTAGAAGGAAAATATAAAGATAGCAGCACCTGACATTGACAATAAGCATATTACACCAATTCTAATATATATAGATTAACATACACAGTCCATGTATCCAGAAAGGTATCTAAACAAGACTGACAATTAGGAGCTTTGTGCTTAATCATAAGAGGGACAATGAGGTCTTCAGACCACTGTGTAGTAGATGGTGGATGTTTGTCCTTCCAACCTTGAAATATATGTCTCTGATCCAGCATAAGAGTTTCCAGAATCTACTTCTGCTGTCCACTTGCATCCTTTCTCCAGGGACGCAGGTGGCACTGTGGTCTAAACTACTGAGCCTCTTGGGCTTGCCAATCATAAGGTCGGCATTTCGAATCCATGCAATGGGTTAACTCCCATTGCTTTGCCCCATCATTTGTTGTCGAAAGCAATCATGGTGCAATACAGAGTTTAAATTTGTAAAAATTATGGGTCCATCTCACAAGAAGCTACATGTGTTTCACAATTACACAATCTTTCTGTTTTCTTCACCAGATCCATGAAGACATCCATCAGATCCATCTACTCAGAATAATGTCACAACAACTGAAGAAGTGGAAAAACTGGTAAAGAGCTAAACTGCAATTGACATATTAGAACTGAAAGTTTTGGATCAGGAAATCTTAATGATGACTTTGGCATATATAGTTTCCTCAGACATCATCAAACATCCTTGATAATGTCAAATTCTTTCTCAGGACTTCCCCCACGTTTCTGTATCCTTCAATTTCTCTATCATTTTGGAGCTATGAAACTCTATTGCTGAATTTTCTGACAGATTTAAGCAGAGCTTCCTTCATCTCTCTGTTTCTCAAACCGTATATGAGGGGGTTGAGCAAGGGAGTCAGGATGGTATAGAACAGAGAAAGGGTTTTGCGTAGTCTTTTCAGTGTTTCTGTTTCAGGGACTATATAGACAAGGAATAATGATCCATAGAAAAGTGTCACCACAATTAGATGAGAAGAGCAAGTGGTGAAGGTCTTCCACTGGGCAGCTTTACACTTAATTTGTAAGACAGTGAAAATAATAAAGGCGTAAGATGCCAAAGTTAGTAGGAAAGGGGGACCTGTTCCTATCACTCCTAAAATAAATGTTGCAAGTTTTACGAGCTGAGTATTGTTACAGGAGAGGTTTGCCACTGGATATACATCACAAAAGAAATGATCAATTTCATTGGGCCCACAGAATGTGAGCTTTAGCATAAGCAAAGTGATGATAGTGTTGGTCAACAGGCCACACATCCAGGAAGTGATCACCAGTCGGATGCAGAGTCTACCATTCATAATGGATATGTAGCGCAGAGGTTTGCATATTGACAAATACCGGTCATAGGACATCATTGCCAGAAGGTAGCATTCTGTGGCTGCCAAGAAACCAAAGAGATAGTATTGTGTGATACATCCTGTAATGGATATGGACCTATCCCCAGTAAGAAAACTGGCCAGCATCCTGGGGAGAATGGTTGAAATGTAGCAAGTCTCCAAGAAGGACAGGTTCATGATGAAGAAATACATGGGGGTTTGAAGATGCTGGTCAACCACAACCAGAAAAACAACAAGGAAGTTCATGGCTAGAGATAAAACATAGATTGCAAGCAACAATATGAACAGGAGAATTCGCAGTTCAAGTAGGTTGCCAAATCCCAGAAGGATGAATGCTGAAGGACTTGATTGATTTCCTCCCACTGCTGTTTGTTGGTGATGACTGTCAGCATCATTCTAAAACAGATTTTTTTTAAAAAAAGCAAACTAATGTTGTCACATTTGTATTTGTATTTTAAGAGATATCTGCTCCTCTACAATGGCTTTGGGAAGGGAAGATTTGTGGTGGAGAAGCAGCTGGAAAGAAGGTTGCTGGACCTTTTCCTACCTGCTCCTTTCTCATGTTTCCTCCCCCAATCCAATCATGATCGCAACATCTTGTATTTGAAACCCATGCCATTTCTCTTCCCAATAGTGACAGGAATGGAATCCTGAGAATAAGATTGGGGAATTCCATACATATTATATGAATGGGATATTGCTTTGTATGTTCCCCAATAAAGAAATATAACACAACAGAGAATCTCAGAACTGTAGAGTTGGGAGTTACCTTAAAGTCCACACCCCTAACTAGTATGGAATAATGGATTTATTTATTATTTTGCAAAGGGTGTTTAAGGAGATAACAGAAATCACTGTGTTAAAGCTGACCAAAACTCCAGAGGTAGCATTATTATCAATTTACGATGGGGCGGAAGGTTCACAGGCTATGAAGGACTTGCTCAAATATTTATTGACAGCTGCATGAATTATTATAGCCAGAAAGAGGAAGGAGCAAACTGAATATAAAATGGAAGAATGGTATAAAGAGGTGTGGGATACAGTGGTATCTCAGGTTACATACACTTCAGGTTACATACGCTTCAGGTTACAGACTCCGCTAACCTAGAAATAGTGCTTCAAGTTAAGAACTTTGCTTCAGGATGAGAACAGAAATCGCATGGTGGTGGCGCAGGTGCAGCGGGAGGCCCCATTAGCTAAAGTAGTGCTTCAGGTTAAGAACAATTTCAGGTTAAGAATGGACCTCCGGAATGAATTAAGTAAGTAACCAGAAGTACCACTGTATAGTTATTAATGATGAATGTGCCATTAAGGTAAGACGGGGAATATTCAGGAGAAATTATTTTAAGGAGATATGGAGGGTGTTTGTATAATTTGTACTGTTAAAATGGAAAGGGGTCAAGCCATTGCAAGAGGTGTTGAATTTTTGGGAGGTTGGATAGTTACAATGGAATGGACTTGGTGGTGGGGTGCACATTTTTATTCTTATTCATTTATGATTATTACTTTGTCTAATAATAATAATAATAATAATAATAATAATAATAATAATAATTCCACACCCCTAACAGTACAGAATATTGGACTAACTTCTGTGATATAACCATTCAGATGTTTGAAGACACCCATCTCTATTTCCATACATGCCCTTTTTGTGCTGTGCTGATTCTATTATTGGTGTTCAATGTGATGCCTCCTAATATGATTTCTACAGCTGCAGTCTAAAATGGAACTATATGGGTTAGAGGACATACAATTGTAGCCCTAGTCCAGGGCACTGGTATAGGTTAAACACTCCAAGAACCTGATCACATGAAAAGGGAGGCTGTTCCAAAAGACATCATAGCAAAAATCTGGCGTAGACAATGTGATGTCCACCAGAGGTTTGGGGCTACAATTCTTATCAGCCCTATTTATAGATGGAGGAGAAAAGTAGCTGAACCAAATACCTTGATTGTTGTAAAAATTATCAATATTTTTATTACACTAGCTTAGGAAACATTCTCTAATCCCGAAGTAAACTACATATAGATTTTGATTTTTCTTCCAGAACAGTATCACTGAATCAAACAAGGTAACTCCAGATCCTTATTACCTATATTAAGTGAACAGAATTCTGGGTAAAAATCAGCAGCTTGGAAACATCATTGATTGTGAGATTCCAAATGAAGATGAAGAACGTAACTGTCAAAACTACAAACTCAGTTGACCCAGAACTGAAGTACATTCAAAATATTCAAATGTCATGAAATATTATTTAAACTATGAGTACCTAGCATTGGATTGAGAAATCCAGCATGTTATTCCTGGTTGTCTAAAGAGTCTAAAACTGATCTGTCCAGTAAAAGATGGCTTTTCATACATTGTATGCATATTTTCCTAATAAACCTTGTGACTAACCTATAAAGAGGAAGGCAAATTAAGTAAATGCAATTGATCTGAACCAGTGCTTTTTTCAGGGGGCACTCAAGGGTATGCTGTACCGGCACCTCTTTTTGTTGTTAATAAAAAGTGTGACACTTACAGTAACAATTTCAGGGTGAGTACCAGCACGTATTTTTCTAGAAAAAATAGCACTCTATTTTTGAACAATCTAAACAGAAATCAGATCAGACTTACTAAACCCACCTTCCACAGTTCACCATGAAATTGATAAGAGTTGCCATATGAGTTTGAAATGGTTTCTGTACATACCTGATAGAAATATGGTGCCTATAAACCATATTAAATTCTCATGAAATAAAAAAGAAACACCCTGTTCCAAGGATAGCACATGGGGATGAGAAACTATGTATATTTACCTCCAAAATTATTGTGTTTCTAGATGGAATCTCTGATGTGTTCAGCTCAGTTTCCATTCTTAGGATGCACGACTGTCTTCTGATTCCTTATGGTGCTCCCAAGTTTTGTTCCAGGTAGATGCTATGGAGTCTTGCTCCAATCTTGCTCCCATCCACTAACAAAATATCAATGTGCACTTATTAAAGTTCAAATGTTCAAGAAGTCTGGCTTCCATTTAGTAGCAAAATATCAGTAGGTACACTTATTTAGACACAGTTAAATAATCAAATACAAGTGCTTCTGTCACTAGATGTTTGCAGTGACTGGGAGAAATCACTAAGCAGTTTCTGCCTGTGTTTGGCTACCTATATTTGTTATTCTGGGAGTTATGCCAAGTGTCTTAAACTATTAGCATTAGCTGTTAAACTATTATCTCACATAATGGGATGTCAATACTGCAGACAAAGGGGGGGGGGGAGTTCTCAAACAGGGAAAGTTAGATGCTCACTCATGTCAATGAGAATTCTATACGATACGTTATCTTTATTGTCATTGTCCCATGCAGAACAATGAAATTGAAAAACTACATAAAACATTCAAAAACCCCTAAAAACTCTGAAACCCCATTTTAAAATACACTATACTATAGAGACCCTTTATGCTGTGTTTAGAACCAGAATTTCATTTGCGTAGAAACTGTTTCTCAGGCGGCTAGTCCTGGCCTTTATAACCCTATACCTTCTTCAAGAAGGCAGAAGCTGAAAGAGATCATTTCTGGGGTGCGTACTATCCTGTGCTATCTCTGCCACTTTCTTATGGCACCTGAGAGCATAGATTTGATCTAGGGTGGGAAGAGTGCACCCAATTATTCTCTCTGCAGTCCTTACAACCCTGGACAGCATTGTTTTTTCCCTGGCCGTGCAGCTCCCAAACCACACACACAGACCATAAGTTAATACACTCTCCACAGTACAATGGTAAAATGCCATCAACAGGTCCTTTGAGAGATTATTTTTCCAGAGGATTCTCAGGATTCTCTACCCTCTTCCAAACCCATGTCTATTTAATTAATGGCACCAAACTGATATTAACATACACACACACTGTCTCAACAGGATGAACAAGAATAGCCAAGCTATACCCACCAAGACTTTAATTTTCAAGTGTAGGAGTAAAAATAAATAAATAAAAGAAATAAAGTTGGATCATGATGTCCTTGTGGGAAAAGATATCATACCTGAGAGCTGGATCCATTGCCATATTTAGAGTAGTCCCATTGGAATCAACGGAACTTATTTACTGATCTTATAATCTTTACACTAAGGATTGTGCCCAAACTGCTTTATTGAGAGCAAACTCTAACAGGCATTAGGCATGAGAAAAGACTGGATTTCTTAACATTACTGAATGGGTCTATTCTAATCATGACTTATGCATTCTCTGCATTCTGAATTAAGTAAACTTTTAAGGACATTTCTAAATGAAGCATGTTAAATTAATCTAAACTGGAAGGTACCAAATTAACGAATGACAGTAGTATAGAAGCTGTCAGGGTATGAGTAGTCATAATCAGTTCCCTTTTCCCCAGCAGTATACACAGCTAGCAGATGAAGTAGCGTTGATTAAAGTTACTCCAGGATAGAGCTATCGTTGTGTAATCCTCTGCCTTTTAAAGAGGAATTGTGATCTCATCAAGGGTACACACTGAGTAGCACAGGAACCAGCTCCTAAGTGCCGAGGTCCCTTCACCTCCCCTAAAATATTTGAGGGGCCCAGGCCCAGGCCCCCCAAATAAATGGGCATTGCCATTCTAATTGTGTGTGTGTGTGTGTGCGCGCGCGCGCTGCATCATGTCATCGATTATGTGGGGCAGGGCTTACTTGGACCCCGCCCCTGCATTTTTTCAAGTTGGCACTGCTGCTGAGTAGTTTCCCCCCCCCCCATCGCCACCTGTCTCTTCTCTGGACTGAGCCTCAGTTTATTCACCCTTTCCCAGAGCAAATGGAAGCATTGGTACAATGTCATTGGTAGACAGTTGGAGCAGAACTGGAGAAATAATAATACCCTGTGCACATATGACGACATTCCGAACTGTCTCAGAGCACTCCTTTCATCGCCTTGAGAGTACTATGAGGAAGTTCATAAATACTGAGGTGATTTCAAATCAAGTCATGGGGCATTGTCCATCACTAAAACAAACAAACAAACAAACAAAATGACAAATGCATGATTTTAACCCAGATTCTCATTTTGCGAAATCATAAAAGTGGCACTGCCAATATGTTTTTTAAAATAAACATCACAGCAAAAATCCTGCTATTTTCCCATTATTGTTTATAAAATCAATCTGGGCATAAACTGAAGGCTATAGGAAGCTGCTGCTGTCAAGCAGGAAGTTTGAACACTAGAGGGCAGCTAAAGGCAATCAATTTATGTATATAAATCAAATGTCTTAAAACAGGTATTTTGTTATGATTTTGTTTTTAAAACATACACCCTACACGCGTGGCAGAGCATATGCCTTTGCTACCCAGGGTGGGTGCGCTCCCTAGGGGGGCGTGGCGTGGAGCGTGCCCTCCCACGCGCAGGACAGTCACTTGGGTGCACGGAGTGGCACGCACGGCCTGACCAAAGGGTGAAGTGAGACGCCCATGTGGCCGAGTGAGCTGTCAATGGAAGACATTCGGCCTGCTGCCTGCCTGTCTGTGGCTCCCAAGCCTCCCCAAAGCTGTCAAAATGAAGGGGAAAGGGGGGAATGCCGCCAGCAAAGCAGCACAGCTCCCCCCTTACCCTGACGGCTTGGGGTAGGTTTGGGAGTCGCGGGCGGGTGATGTGCCAAATGTCATCCCCCTCAGCGAAGACACCCGGGGCAGTCCATCCCCACTGCACCTCCTTCCTTTGTCCCTGCCCCACACAACTGAACTTGAAACCAGAAGGCTGTAAAATTCCAGTCATATGTTTCATCCAGACAGTAAAGTAATCCCATGAAGCAATAATTAATACAAGAATCCCCTTAGGGTTTAGGAAGTCAGTTGCAAGATAAATGGTCCCCGCCCCCAGATAGCCAATCTTCAGCAAAGTCCCACAGGATCACTTATTTTAAGAGAGAAGCATCTACACCCATAAACATTATCACTAACAGTTCTGTGTAAATGTGGCTGTTCCAGCTTGCTCAGAGCCTATTGTGTTTCCTTAATTTTTTTACTACAGGTTTTGAATCCTGGAATATCACTGTGCATCAAAGAGATTGGTTGAAGGCAAGTGCTCATCCCATATGATGCTATTCTTTTGTGGGTGAGGTACCATATTCCAGGAGTTTTTCTAAATGATAGTTTGTTTTTACCAGTGTTAGGATAGGTCAATTTTGGTTTCTCTCCGTTTCTCTTCTTTCCAGTTGTATGTGAAGTTCTGTTAATGCAAATGCATGGTTCAAACTACCTTTGTGGATGTTTCTGGAAAGGCCATGACAAGTTAATTAATTAATTAATTTTACTAATCCTTCATGGCTTTCTCTCACCCATTATATCAATGTAAAGTTCAAGGAAGAAATACATACAGAGGATCCTATCTTGAGGCAGTTGACTCTGGTGGCAGATGCTGTGGGGGGCACTCCCCGTTCCCCCTGAGTTCCCCTAGTTAGCCTCCTGTCCTTTGGTACATTGGAGGATGCCCCATCAGGAATGCTGAAATAAGATTCTGGGGAATGGCTTTATTTCGGCTCACGTATCATTCTGGAATGTGTAACGTAGTGTCAGGGAATGGTCTGAAGATGACGACTGGGGAATGCATTTTATGGCAGACCAGCTTCTCTCCTGATGGAGAGTTGGATGGGGAAGAGTGGTCCCCATTGTCCACGGTGTGTTCAGAAGCAGAGAGAGAGAGAAGCTGAACAGCTTAGGGAGGGGTTACCTAGTTGCGAGATAATGGCAAGAGAAACAGAAGGGAGGGGACAGCTAGTCAAGACATCACTGGAGAGTGTGGGGGACTCCCCCCTCACCATGGACTCAGAGGTCCAAACGTATTAGAGAGCAAAGGAGTCAGAAGGAGGGAGGAACTTCCCTTTGGCACCTAAAATGCTGCGGAAGTTGGAAGGAGGATTTAGAATAGCTAACTGCCCTCCTTGCGGAGAGCTGTGTATTTGTGCTTGCAGCATGATATAAATATATCAACTGCTTGTTAATTCTTATCTGTGAAGTTACAGAAGGGAGGAGAGGACTCTCCATGCCTGACAGGTAGGTAGAATCACCTTGAAATTCAATCTGAATTGAATTGCTCTCCCACCTCTACATTTAGTCAGGAAGACAAATGGGGAGAAATGGCAACTGCCTTCCCAAATCCACCCAGTTCATCAAAATATTTCTATATCAAACTCCCCTTTTCATTCACTACTCCAACTGGAAAAAGAAAGCTCAGCTCATTTTTGGACAAAGATACTTGTGTTGTGTTTTTGCTTAGCATTGCAGCATTCATATTGCCTTAGGCTGAAATCCTGCACACACTTGCTTGGGAAAGTGCTTTGTTCCAGTGATAACAGTGGGGTGAACGTCTGACTAAGCATGCTTGCCATTTATTAACTGATTGATTTTAGAAAAACTATACTCCACCCTTCCAAAGCATTTGCATTGCCTGGGGGGTGGGTTGGGGGGCTTACACCACTTTAAAGCAACAGCAGTAAAAATAGAAGCAGACTCTGCACTGCAAATTCTAAAATGAGTGTTCAGATAAGAAACCATGAATAATAAAAACACAGGTGTTCATGCATGTCACAAAGGCATAGCTTGCAGTGGCCAGGTCTCATTTTCTCAGGAATGTGCAGAGCTGGTGCATGAACCTAGGACAAGAAAAGACCACAGCTGCTTTCTGAGCATCCAGATGCATAACCACAAGGTGCCATAGTGATAGCAAGAAGCACCACCCTCGTTCTGAATTGGCTTTATGATGATGCTACGTGGTGGTACTTTGGGACAGGTTTTAATAGGTTGGACTGTAATATGAGGATTGTAATCATATTGGAAGCTGCAACAGAGATGGTATGCAAAATCTGTCTCTCATACTATAATCCACTAAACTTTGCTTGAGCTACTCCTATTGCAAAACAGCTTCCGAGTGCTGCTGATATTAAGGGGGGTGGTGGATGGAAGTCTTTATATCAAAATTCATCTTCTTCTGCTTTTATTTTCTAGGGTTGATGTGACCTGCAGTTGATTAAATCAATGTGGAACACAGAGAAGGAAAACCAGACAGTTATCACAGAATTCATCCTCTTGGGATTTGGGGATCTCCCTGAGCTTCAGCCCCATCTTTTTGTACTGTTCCTAGTGATTTACATTGTGACAATAACTGGGAATCTCCTTATCCTTTTGCTAGTTGTGTCTGATCAGCACCTCCACACCCCCATGTACTTCTTCCTAGCCAATTTGTCTTGCTTGGAGACCTGCTATAGCTCTATTATCTTGCCCAAAATGTTGGCCAATTTGATAAGTGGCAAGAAGTCCATTTCTCTTAGTGGATGTCTGTCCCAATTTTATCTGTTTGGTTCTTGTGTAGGTATAGAGACATATCTCCTGGCAGCGATGTCCTATGACCGCTACCTGGCGATATGTAAACCTTTGCACTACACTTCTATCATGCATGCAAAGCTCTGTGTTCAGCTCATCGTTGGGGCATGGATCGACTCTTTGCTGGCTAATTGTGTAATATTATATCTGATGGCCCAGTTATCCTTCTGTGGCCCAAATGTCATGGATCATTACTTTTGCGACTTCATCCCACTTGAAAAACTCTCCTGTAGTGATACAAGCATGATTGAACTTGTCACCTTTCTTTCGACCTTCATTTTCACCATCACCCCATTTCTACTGACCCTCACATCCTATGTTTGCATCATCACCACCATCCTAAAGATACCATCCACCACTGGACGGCAAAAGGCCTTTTCCACTTGCTCCTCTCATCTGATTGTTGTCTGCATTTTTTATGGCACAATAATCATTGTCTACATGCTGCCAGATACACCAACTCTGAGAGACCTCAATAAAGTCTTCTCCGTCTTCTACACGGTCTTGACACCTCTCGTTAATCCTTTAATCTACAGTTTAAGAAATAAAGAAGTACATAGAGCCCTAAGAAGAGTTTGCAGCAAGGTGATGCATTTTGCAAGGATGCCGAAAAATGTACTGTCATAACTGGTTTTCAATAAATGGATCCCTGTTTTGCCTAACCATTTCTACAGTGTGTGATGCTCTTAACTGTAATATATTTCCCTCAAGAGAATACAGGAGGGATAGGGAATCAATGGTCTTCCAGAGGTTGTTGAACTCCATTGCAAATCCAGTGGCGGATCTTGGGAGTCTCAATTTTCAGTAGCTCCATGTCTGATGCCAAAATTCGGCGCCCCTTCGGCCTTTCACGCAGTGCCCCTGAGACTCTACCCTCAAATCCTTCTCTAGCACATCAGCTCCACCTGAACAGCATGGAGTTGGAGTCCAACAGCCTCTGGAAGTATACAAGTTTTCCCACGAAAGGAGTTGTGGAGTCAACAATCAATAGTACTTTCTTAATCAATATTGTGGAAGTATAAGGTATTGTACTAGAAGCAGTTGGAAAAGTCTGTTGATATGTTGAGATGTTTATATCCCAGGTTTCTGTTCCACAACATGGGATCCACTGGCTAAAAAGCAAAGTTTTGAAAATGTAACTCTGGAATATAAATGATTTAAAACAAGCGGAGAATCTCAGGCCCTAATGACAAAATGCAGCTGTTATTGTTTTCAGTCTGCAAACAATATGCAATTGATTACTTCCCTCCCAATTTGCATTATTGCCTTTGCATTGAAAATGAATATTTCGGAATAACATAATGATTATGTATTCCACCACAGTAAGAAAAATAACGTTTCAATAAACCCCTGAAATAAATAAATTGCTCAAATCTCAGTTGCAACCCTTTCAGTTGTTTTCATTTACAATCGAACCCTGTGGATGTTTGTGGAGATGTACGTCATGTTTTGTTCAATGAACCTTATTCATACAAGTGTTTGCATCAAATTGCAGCCATACAGTGCAATCCTAAATTCATCTGTACTCAAAATTAAACCCATGAGGCTTTCTTTCTGGTAAATTAATTCATATTCAAGCACAACCCTGTGGATTGAGTATCTAAGAATTTATCACCATAGAGTTCAGTGAAACTTACAGCCAGGCAAGTATGTGCTGGGTTGCAGTCTATATATTCCTCAGTCCATATATAAGTCTATTTAGATACACAAAGAATGATGAAGTCTGGACCCAGCCCTTTGAGTATGATATTCTGGCACAAAACATTTTCCTGACAATCCACAAGACCATTGTGAATAAACTCCATCTCTTTTATTTTATTACTTCTATAATTAAGCAATAAAACGTCATCAGAATGAATGCCATTCCTTGTTCAGGCTGTTGAGGGCAGCCTGTGAGTACATTAATCAAGAACCTTGGCTCTGCAAGAGTCTAATGGCTTCCCCAAGGCATGAGTCAACATGTAGCTTCCCAGGTCATTGATGTCCTGTTATGGTAATAGCTCACTATAACTCCTAGAATTCAAAACATAGAAAGGCAAACCCTGGCAAACTGCTGAGTTCTTTTTCCTAACCATAGTTAATATCCATTTGTAGAAATAGTCTGTTAAATAAGTAAGTTTACATTTTCATATTTTGCTGCTGAATAACAGCAAGGCAACTTGATCATTTGTACATTAAATAAGTGAGTACAGTAATATTTTGCTACCAAAGAAGCACCAGACACCAGAGTCACCACTGGAATGAAATGTTTGGACCAGAGCAGGGATAGAGAAGAGAAGCTTCCATCCTACATATGGAAACTGAATGGAACGCACCTAGGAATATAACAGTTTCAGAGGTAAATATTTATCAATCATGCTATTAACCTTTTGTCTCCAAGTACTATATTTGTGATATAGTATTTCATTCTTATAAAGGTTTAAAATGGTTTATATACACTGATAGTGGCTGATAAGAAGGGAAAGTTGGGTTTTGTCAATCTAACCAATCTGATCTCAGTCTGCCTCTTTCTGTAGGTCAGTCTCATGTTTTGTGGAGAAAAGGTAGGTTGTTAGCTTGTTGGCACAGAATAAATTAAATGACATATTTTATCACTGGGCCAATTTTTTTTAGGATCTTTGACATTGCAGGGTTTTGGATTTCTCAGAATATGTTCAGGGAAACATATTCTGTGCTATTATTGATTTAAGTTAGTGCATTAACAGCCCATCTTCATTTCACTGTGGACTTCAAGGTGGCATACATGGGGTTCCTTGACATTCCATATCCAGGCACTCACCAGACCTAAACCTGCCTCATATGCCCTCAGTGCATGCTCTGGGCGAAAATAACACTGTTGTCAATTTATTAATATTTTGGATTAATTTGATGTACTATGGAACTGAGAAAGCTGATTTCAGTAAACAGTAATGTCAAGGAGCCAGGGAAGATGTGCATATTATGTACCAAGCATTGACTAAGCTCAGCTGCCTATTTTCATAATGTCCGCCTCCTTGTCTGACGTTGTCCTGTTTGACTCACTGAGATAGTTCTGGAGTGAAAATTGAAGCTTAAATGACGCTCCCTCCTGCATTGCTTAATATGCCTCTTAACTATCAGGAGAAATAAGATACACAAAAATCATTTTCACAGTTTCATAACAGTTTCATATAAAATACCTGACAGAATTTAATTCTAGTTATAGATTAGAAGCCCTGGTGTGTACATAGGCAGCTCAATAAGGTGCTCAAGGGCTGAGGTGGTTGAATAAAGGATGCCACTTCAGTCTGCATGTGGAGGAATCACATTGTTTTTGAAATAAATTATTTGAAATAAGAAAAGATGCACACGCATGGAAGACCTTAGCTAGAATATTATTCCCCATTGTGCTAGATTTCTGCAGGCAAGGAGATTTCATTTATAAGGAAGCATTCAATGTGGTATTTCCCACCTACAATTTTGAAGAGCTGCCTTCATTTCTCAGAATTCTACTGCCTCCTTCCCACATAATTCTGCTCCACATATAGCAATTGAGCACATCTAATTATCTAGCAGTAAGATATAGTAGAGTCCTAAACTACTAGCAGAAAACTAACAGCCAATCAAGGATCACATCTTCATAAAACACCTCCTTGCAAACAGAAAACTAGGATAGTAAAGTCATAATTTATTTTTATATATAACCTGGGATTTTTTTTTTTTTTTTTTACAAAATAGGGAACATCTACTACAGTCAGAAGTACTAAATTCCACTCCAACACTTTCAGTTCTTCAGCATCTGCAGTTCTACATTTCTGTGATGTCATGGATTTTGTGGTTACACAGGTTTGGAACCAGAAATTGGTGGGTGAAGTGGGGTAAAGAGCAGGGACAAACCAAAAAGTTGGTAGGAATAGTGAGCTCTTTGCCTCTCTTCCTGCTTTTCCTTGGCAAATCGTCCCTCACAGTCTCTTGCAACTGTCCACATTAGTCACAAACATCCATGGGAGGGGAAACAGGAATGGGGCGGGTTGCTGAGCTTACTAACATTTTTCAAATTGTATTTCAGAATGAAGTTGAGATTCAACAGCAAAAAGCAATGGGAGGAAATCTGTCAACCCCTTCAACATTCATCCTTCTGGGATTTGGCAATGACTTTGAACTGCGAATCCTCCTCTTTGTCTTGTTCCTTGCCATCTATGCTTTGTCGCTTGTTGGGAACCTCTTAATTGTTTTACTTGTTGCAGTTGACCAGCATCTTCACAAACCCATGTATTTCTTCCTCATGAACTTGTCGGGCTTGGAGACCTGCTACATTTCAACCATCCTGCCCAGGATGCTGGTCAGTTTCCTTACTGGGGATAGGTCCATATCTATTAAGGGTTGCATCACACAATACTATTTCTTTGGTTTCTTGGCATGCACAGAATGTTACCTTCTGGCAATGATGTCTTATGATCGGTATTTGGCAATATGCAAACCTCTGCACTACCCAACTATAATGAGTGGTAGACTCTGCCTCCAGTTAGCATTCACTTCTTGGATGTGTGGCCTGGTGACCAACACTATCATAACTTCTTTTTTGGGTCAACTAACTTTCTGTGGACCCAATGAAATTGATGATTTCTTTTGTGATGTTTATCCATTAGCAAACCTCTCATGCAGCAATACCCGCCTAGTAAAACTTGCAACTTTGATTTTGGGGTTTATGGGAATAGGGTCCCCTTTTCTCCTAACTTTAGCTTCTTATGTCTGCATTATTTGTACCATCTTGCGAATTAAATCCAGAGCTGCCCAGCAGAAGGCCTTTGCCACCTGCTCTTCCCATCTGATTGTTGTGACACTTTTCTTCCTTTCGTTATTCTTAGTTTATGTGGTTCCAGAAACAGAAAAATTAAAGGAATTACATAAAATCTTCTCTTTCTTCTACACCATCTTTACCCCCATGTTAAATCCTCTCATTTACAGTTTGAGAAATAGAGAGGTCAAGGAAGCTTTGTTCAAATTTGTCAGAATTTTTTTGTGATTGAGTTCCATAACTTCATAGTGGGTTGGATCATGTGAAGCATACAGGAAGATAAAGATTGGTTTTGTCATTAACTGGGTTGCTTGAGGCATTAAGTTTTCACATAGTCATTAAAGTGCATCAATAAAAGCATATTTTGAAAAAATAGTACATTTTCAATACATATTACAATACCTCTTTTGTGATGATTTTTTTTAAAAAATATAGAACTTTACTAATTAATCTGAAAATGGAACAGAAGTGCAGAAAAACACACACACACATACAAACATCTAATATGTGCCATAAACAGAGAGATTGGCTCATCCCTTGCCATTGAATAACAATCCTTTGGGCTGGGATTCAAGTCTTTTCAAAATGATACTCAAACTGCCACTGTCACTGGTAGTGTAACAAGGCAAAGAATAAAACAAGCAGAAACCTGCAGTGCAGTCCTAACTTCATTTACAGTGGTGCCTCGCAAGACGAAATTAATTTGTTCCGCAAGTTTTTTCTTCTTGCGAGTTTTTCGTCTTGCGAAGCACGGTTTCCCATAGGAATGCATTGAAAATCAATCAATGCGTTCCTATGGAAACCGACTTCAGACCAGGTCCGGGGACAGTCTGTCCCCCGACCTATTCTGAAGGCTTGGGGGGGGGGACAAGGGCTTTTCTTCCCACCCCCAGCATTTTAAAAAACCCCGGGACAGCGGAGACTTTTCCGCTGTCCGGGGCGATTTTAAAATGCTGGCGGGCGGCAGCGAAGCCTCCTAAACTTCTCTTTAATTGCTATGTTGTTTAAATGAAATTCTTCTATTGTGCATTGTAATAAGCAATGCTTATATTTTAATGTTTGTGAAACTGGTTTTTATGAAACTGTTTTTATGAAACTGTTTTATGAAACTGGTTTTTATGAAATTTTTTGAAATTATGACATGTTTGTGAAACTGGTTGAAAACTGCTTAGAAGCCTATTTTGGCGTTATGCAGTAAATGAATTAATTCATACGCAAGCACAACCTTGTGGAATGTATATTTAAAGTACGTCCTGTAGAGTTCAGTGAAACTTACAGCTAGGCAAGTCCAGCATGTGCAGGGTTCCAGGCATTGTCTTGACCCAATTCCTCAGGTGCATAAATAACTCTATTTGATGAGTCTAAGCATGATAAAGTCTGAATCTAGCCCCCTGAGATTGATATCCTGACACAAAATATTTTTCTGAAAATCATACCACAACTGGAATTCAAGGCCCAGTTCTGGATGCAACAATTTAAGAAGGACATTGACAAGCCGGAACATGTGCAGAGGAGGGCAACCAAGATGATCAGGGTCTGGAAACCAAGTCTTATGAGGAACAGTTGAGGGAGCTGGGTATGTTTAGCACAGAGAAGAGGAGACTGAGAGGAGATATGATAGCCTTCTTCAACTATCTAAACTCTCTAACCATCTTATGAGGAACAGTTGAGGGAGCTGGGTATGTTTAGCACAGAGAAGAGGAGACTGAGAGGAGATATGATAGCTTTCTTCAACTATCTAAACTCTCTAACCATCTTCACATGGAAGATGGAGCAAGCTTGTTTTTTCTTGCTCTGGAGGGTAGAACTTGAAGCAATGCCTTCAAATTGCAAGAATGAAGAATTCAGCTAAACACCAGGAAGAACTTTCTGACAGTAAGAGCCATTAGATAGTAGAACAGACTCTCTCGGGAGGTTGTGGAGTCTCGTTCCTCAGAGGTTTTTAAGCAGAGGTTGGATTGTCATCTAGTTGAGATTCCTGCATTGCAGGGAGTTGGACTAGATGACCACTGGGGTCCAAGTCTACAATATGTCCAAACCCTATCTCCTTTATTTTAATGTCTCTATACTTAATAAATAAAACTTCAGTAGAAGTGAGGTGGCATTTCTCATTCAGGATGTTGAGGATAGGCTGTGAGTACCTTCATAGCACTGAAGAGATAGTATTAATTAAGAGCCTTGGCTTTGGAAGTGTCTAATGACTTCCCCAAGGCATGAGTGAGCACATAGCTTTCAGGGTATATAGCGCTTTTCCCTAGCCATAATGAAATATTAATTTGTAGAAACAGCATGTCCTTGATCATTTAGTCATGTTCAAGTAAGGTTACCTACTGATATTTTGCTGCTGAATAAAAGCATGGCAACTTGATCATTTGTACTTTAAATAAGTGAGCATACTAACAGTTAGCTACTAACTGGAAAGAAGATTCCAGAGCCAACATTAGAATGACATGATTGGAACAGAACAGGGGTAGGGAAGAGAAACTTGCATCCTATTTATGGAGCCCGAATGGAATACATCAGATTTTCCACATGGAAGTATTATCATTTTAGAGGTAAATGTTTATAAATCCATCCTGTTAGTGTTTTCTCTTCATGTACTACATATAAACATGATTTTCCATTTTTATGAGGGTTTTAAATGATTCGTATGCACTGTATGCCAATTAAGAATACCACTTTCTTGGTAAACTGGATAAAAGGAATTGGCAATTGGGCTTTATAAATCTAACCTATCTGATCTTGGTCTTCCTCCTTCCATAGGTCACTCTCAAGCTTTATGAGGAAACTGGTTAATTTTTTATGATATGCATACCAAAAAGAAAAAGAGAGAGAGAAATGTCATCTTTTTTTCACTGAGCCGATTTATTTTAGAATATTTGGGATCCTAGAATTAACTTTTTGGAGTTCACAGAATACATTCAGAAAGACAAAATTCTATTATTCACTGAATGTACTATATCTTTATCCCATTTCCCCCTGTCATGTACTTAAAGGCACTCATGTACAAGTGGTTCCCATATGTCCCTCATTCAGACACCTAACCTGCTTAACTTTAGCAAGTGGTCTGCATCATATGCCCTCATATCATGGCTTGAGGCAATCATAAAACTCCTGCCAATTTATTAATATTTTTGATTTCTTAGAAGTACTATAGAACTGAGAAAACTGTCAGAGGTTTCAGAAAACAGTAATGTCAAGGATCCAGCTTAAATCAAAACATTTTAAAAACAAGTTCCTCTGAGAACTCACATGCTATTAAGGTACCAAGCATTGACTAAGCTCAGCTGCCTATTTTCATACACAGCACCCTTCACATAATATGGTGGGAAGTTGTACTGTTCGTCTGAAGTTGTACTCTTTGATTTATTGAGATAATTTGGGAAGGAAAATAAATGTTTACATGAAGCTCTGTCCCTCATTGGAGAATGTGTCCATTAGCGTGTGTGGGAGAGAAAACTGCACAAAAATCATTTTCACAGTTTCACAACAGTCTGGGTATATGTGTGTGTGTGCATGTGTGCATGTACACACATTTTATAATCAGGAACAAGTGCCTGGCACCATTGAACACTTTTTACTAGGTATGGACTATAAGCCCTGATGTGTGCAGCTCAATAAGGTGGTCAGATGCTGAGGTGGTAGGTTCAAGGATGCTACTTGAACCTTCAGGTGGGGGAATTACATTTTTTGAATACTTAAAAAAAATGCAAACAAAAGAAGCAGTACAAGTATTGCAGGACTTGGCCATAATAGTCTTTGTTAATGCAGTAAAGTTGTAAGCAGGTAGAAGAGAACTAACTGCTAGTCAGGGACCACTTCATTAAAAAAAAATGAATTGAAAGTAGAAAAGTAGAATAGTACTGAGCTTTTTTCATATGTGCAAGCTGGAAATTTTACAAAACTAGGAACACCCACTCTTCCACTTCAGAATTCTAGCAAGATATTCTTGGAATTGTGTAGTTACACAGGTCTGGGACCACATCTTGGAGGGTGGGGTAAGCAGCATTGGAAACCAAGAAATCAGAAAGGGTTAATCACTCTTCCTCTTTCCTTCTGCTTCTATTCTGCAAATCATCCCTCTCCAATTCCCCTTTCAGGGGAGCAGCAACACTCAGGTGTTTCTGAAAAAAATACAAACAAAAAATTTACTTCTGCCCTCAGTTAATTAGCCAGATCCTTGGCTTGAGTTTTGATAGGTCCTGTGTGTTTCCATGTATAAGGAGCCTGTGTTTAAAAACAAACGTGGAGAAGCTTAAATTTGTGGTCTGCACTGTTCTCAAGATTCGCCTTGATTTTGTATCTGTACATTATTTGCAAATTTCAATCTGTTTGTGAATTGCTCTGTGCCTCCTACACTTTGATCTGTGTTGAAGCTTCTAAGCTGCATTGTAAAATAAGATGCTCTGCCTTCCCTATTCACTACAAAGGGGAATCTAAAAAACAGCCCTAACTTTTCCCCCCTTCGGTCAACCTGAATGAATGTTAAAGGTGCAGAAGTCCCACCCAAATGAATTTAAGTTACCCAAACTTCAGGCAAATAGGCCCAAGAGCTATTTGTGGAGTAAAAAGGAATAATCTTCCTCCATATTTCCTTATTGGATGTACATGTTGGGAGATGGTTGTCCTATGTTCTTACTTTTCTTAAGTTGGTTAAGAGTGGTTATTTATACTTGTTCTTGCATTTTTAAAATTCCACAGCTTCATATTGGCCTCTTCAGTGCTTGTTTGTGCCCTTCAACAGAGCTTTCAAGCGTGAGGTTATAACATGAGACTATCTAGAATTCTGCCTGTGGGGTTCTGAAGCGGACTTGAGTGTTATTGCTAAAGCAGAGCAGTGCAGGATTTTTTAATTTTTTTAAAAAAACTTACATGAAGTTTTCAACTTATCAAACAAATCCTCAACTACTGTGATGAAAGAAAAATATAATAAAATCCAGAGCTCCTTAGTGTCCCAGTTGGGACAGTATCATTTGTTGCAGTGCCCAGGGGTCTAAAGAAACATAGAGAACTAGGAAAAGATAGAGCTCTGTAGAACTGAAAAGTACAGCAACAACAGAACAACAGGAGGAGCTGATCCAACACAAGATTTATGAACAGCACAGTGCAGGAGCACCAGCTATAGGGGGCTGTGGATGCCCAGCACCCACACTGCAGGGCCCCATGCAGCTTATGAGGTCTCGAAGATGGTGTCTGAGGCCTTCTGAGACCTCAGAGATGCTTTCTGA